TTAGCGTTTGGATGCGCATTGTGCGGCTTTAAGTTAAGGAGTGAATGCCCCTTCTTTTACACCTCTTGACCTTTGACCTTTGACCCCCAGCTTCGACATCCCAACTCGTTTTGACGATCCCCCCCAATGTGCCGAATATCGTGACCGTACGTCGAGCGATTAAGATTTGTGCCCAACTGTTGACAGACGGACGGACGGACGGACAATCATGCGATTCTACAAGCTGCATCTGACTATGTCAGATGAGCTAATAATAGATGAGACTTCATCTTCATAACTATACAGTATACTGCTAGTTAGTGCGAGTGCTAAAAACAATCCAGATTCGGATCCAAGACACACCCGGATGGTTGATATACCCACCAGTCATGAATATCCGTAATAGTAATACCCACCCGATCATCATTGCAGGGGCGGCCAAACTATAAAAGGCTGCCCACCACCAGAAGAACTCTCGTGATTTGGCAATCTGCATTGCCATCATTCGCTCCCTCATTTGATTCTGCATCTGGATTTGGCGCTCCATCTACAAAAACAAAAAATTAATCGATATTTATATCATATATGATATAGGTACATACCATACAAAAAGAACAATACGGCTCAGAAGAGCTTCGATCAAGGATCAAGGATATATCTTCCTGCCCACCCTGCTGTCGGCAGTGCTGTGTGCAAACTACCATATCATATGTGACCTTTATGTTTTGCTACTATTTACTACTGATTATAACTATTGGAAATAGCAAATATTGTATAGAGTATAGACAGATAATTTTTCAGAACACTCTTGTGACTTTGACATAAAAGCACAACCACATAGTTTTCACAAATTCTTTAGTCACCGCAAGACGCTGAGTGGCAAGCATAAATTCTTGTTGCTTCTTCATGTTATCGTCCATTGCTTTGCCAACAATCGACCCCATCTTTACTACTAGCTGATATCGTCGCTTGGGTCGGTTGTAGCTGCCTGTGCCTGAGGTTCCAAACCCCTATTACACCAGGGCCGGGGTTGTGTTCTTCGTTTTTGCTCTTCTTACTCTTCTCAGACTTCTGTGTAAATAGAATTTAGAAATAAAGAAATGATTATTTAGATTACTATAGAATTTCTTTAAATCATTCTGCAGTACACTGTAGGCTAAATTTAAATTCCATGTTATTGAAAACTTACCACAGTCACAGAGACACTGAAACCGGTGTTTCGTTGGTGTGAGAGTTTATGTCGTGTTGTTGTTTGTGTAGACGGGTACTCGCTCTTACCTCTCGGCTTAGTTACTCGATTAGTCACCTATCGAGTAATCGAGGTGGGAGCGAGTACCAGTCTATTGTTTGTGTTTACGCAGCGCCATCTATGGGCGTATCAAAATTAAGTCCGCTGCCGATATTTACCTGACACCAACAAGCTGCCAACAAGTCAACGTAAACGTGCCGTAAAGTGGACTTTTCTACCAATAATGCCATTGGCAATATAGTAGAGGTTTACTTTCTAGTTCTGTTTGCTAAAGCGAGATCATCGGAGATGGCCACCGAGAAGGACACAAAACGTCTGTTGTGTTGTTGCGATGCTATCTGTTTTGATGTCGATTCGACCGTTTGTATTGATGAGGTTATAGATGCATTTGCTACATATTTAGGATGCGGTAAAGAAATTGCACAGCTGTAAGTACACTGCCAAGCAGACCGCATTCTATCATGCCATATGGCACTATGATATTCTTTATGTATCTTCGTAAAACAAACTATGCAACCTAGCCCTGACACTAGCTGTCACTTGCAACCCAACCTTTCGATGCAATTATTAATTTAAAGGGATAGTAGACTCTAGGATTTTACTGCATACAACTGTACTTACTGTATAACAAATCGTCTATACCCACACGTATTCGTTACCAGATACCTAATTTAATGGGTCAGTGAAGTTAGCTCCTAGTTCCCAGTTCCCAGTTCCTTATTCGAATAAGGAAGGCAGTGGCTACGGGTACGGTAGCCGTATCTTAATGTCTCGAGGCTACGGGTACGGGAGTCCATTCGCTTTCATACTTAACGAGACAAAGATGGCGGCGGTGGCGCCAGATTTCGAAATAACGCCTCAAAGTGGGAAATAAATTCACGATTTGAGAGTTTAGATGAGCTAGAACCCTAACCCTAACCATAACCCTAAACCTAACCCTAACCCTAACGCCAAAAAAGGTCTTCAACGACCGACGGCTACCGTACCCGTAGCCACTGCGAATAAGGAACTAGTAACTAGGCAACGCAGTTACCAGTTCCCAGTTCCCAGTTCCTTATTCGAATAAGGAACTATATTAACTAGGCAAAGCAGTTACCAGTTCCCAGTTCCCTGTTCCTTATTCGAAAAAGGAACTAGTAACTAGGCAAAGCAGTTACCAGTTCCCAGTTCCCTGTTCCTTATTCGAAAAAGGAACTAGTAACTAGGCAAAGCAGTTACCAGTTCCCAGTTCCCTGTTCCTTATTCGAAAAAGGAACTAGTAACTAGGCAAAGCAGTTACCAGTTCCCAGTTCCCTGTTCCTTATTCGAAAAAGGAACTAGTAACTAGGCAAAGCAGTTACCAGTTCCCAGTTCCCTGTTCCTTA